GAATGACTGGTATGTCATTTAATAACTCCCGAAATCAATAAGACATGCATTAACGTAACAGGGGAGGTAGAAAAGGGCTGCAGGAATTTGAGCGACCAGCTGATGTCTGAATGCACGGGCGTTTTGGACGGCTTCGCTGTGAAAGAGTTATATAAATCGACAAATAAATTAATTAAATTGCGTAAAGCGTCAAATGCGTAAAGCATCAAAGTGCAAAACGTCAAATAGAATAAGGACTTGAGAATTCAGTTACAGCAAACCCACTGACAAAGAAGTTTTCGCATTTTAAAAAATATTTTTAATCGAGAAGCACTAGAATATATAGATATGGTTTTGAGAATCATTGGATAATTTTAATTTCTAATGAATCATTTCAACTAATTGCTTTTTCTTTTCTCCTGTTAGTTAAAACTTATTATAATAAGAGTATTTTGTAATGTTAGGGAAACTGAAATACTTAATAAATTTTTAATTCAAGTACGATCAACTAAACTTGATCTTAATTCTTATGATTTATGAAAACTTTAAAGAGAAATTTAAATGTTTAAAGTTGTACATTTGTTACAGTGTTTTTAATTGAAATGTTAATTATAGATTTATTTTATCAGATTTATTAAATATAAAATAATACAGCAAAATTTAATTGCATATTCATAGTGCTAGAAATTGTCTCACCAGAATCACGCAGTCGAATAAACTGGATAGTGCATTGTTTCTGGACTTTCGGACTTTGCTTATTGGCTCTCATTGCATTCCTGACAAGAAGCTGGGTATCACTAAGTATCACAACTAGCTGTATTGCTCTTATTCCTTTCCTTTATTTAAGGTAAGTTATTACGGTAAATATGTTAATTACGAAGGGGTATTCATAAATAACCAGAATGATTTAAAAATAATTATATTGTACTTTGTAATAGCATGCACTGAAACCTTAGTTCACGAATTGAAATATTTCCTGTAGACCATTCATCAACCGAAATATCCTTAAACCAAAACAATTTTTCTCACGGGGATTAATGTAAAATGAATTAATTCGTCACTAGACCACAGACAACAGCTTATGTAAACTTTACAACAATACTTTGTCCACAAGTTTATAATTCAAAATCAGTGAGAATCAGCTAACATAAAACGAAAAAAATATAATTTAACACGTAATATTAAACAAGCAAAATAGATGATTTAATATAAAAGCAGATAAAATTGACGAAAACGGAACTTAATTTTACTGTACCTTTATGAAGAACAGTGGAGTGAGTCAAGAATGTATTGGGACAGAACAAATTTTCAGACATCTTTTTGAAAGAATAGTTAAATGAAACACCATATATTCCGGTCTGTTTCATCTTCACCATCATGGTTATTCTGATCTATAAATAAATAATCAGGTTTCATTCCATCTAGATTGTTAGATGTACTATATTTCAGTGGCATTTGAATTCTATTTATTTAATTTCATTCCATGTTTTTATTAGCCACTCACATATTATTTCTAGATTGTCATGACGCATTTGTCCTCCTTTTTTACCTTGCCTTCGATGTTCACTTCAAAATGACGGCTTCAAATGACTACAGAAAGGAAAATCATCAAACTGCTAATTCCGTGAATTCATTCTGGTTAGAAGTGCAGTGCTACATCAAATAATCTCCTCACTTTCTCGAAACCCTAGAATAGCATTCTTGTGCACACCAACATTAAATTCAACGCATCCAGAAAAAGAGGAAATGGAAAAACAGTAACATCATTAGTAAACAATTTGTAAAGTATCTGGGAGTAACTATGGAGACAAACCTTAGCTGAATTCCTCACTTGACCAAATGTCAGATTCAAGATATATAAAATTGTTAATAAATTAAATAGATTGTTAAATGAAAACAATTATAGAAATAAAACTCTACTTAAAGAATTGGATAAAAAAAGGAATAGAAAGAATAATTTTATATTGTGCTCTCGTGTCCTGGAACAAGAAAGAAAAGACAAGAGTTATGCTGTTACAGATTCAGTGAGTGGCCTTATTGTCTATTACTGGATGCTGCAAGACAGTATCAACAGCAAGTATACAAATCAGTTTAACCGTAAGCCACGTGCATATTGCCATAAAGGAAGATAAATATTATTGTCATCCGGCAAAAACAAAGATCTTTCTTGTAAAGAGGAAAGAAATATTCCACAGGGATGTGGTTTAGAGATTTTTACTGATGGCTCGGTGATAGACGAGACAATAGGAGCTGCCCTTGTAACTTGAACAGAAATCTAGAAATCTGAAGACAAAGGTATTAGACTGAATGAAACAAATACTTTTGAGGCTGAATATCATCCTTCAAAGAAGCTTTAAAATAGGCTATAGAAAAAGCGATTTCACAAACTGCTGTTTCAAATTTTTCTGATTCTTAGAGTGTGTTGAAAGCATTAAACTCCAGAAAATAAATATAGGGCTAGAAAGAGAACTGAAATAAGAAACAAAACTCTTGAACTTATGGAAAAATATAATTTCAGAGCAAATTGGGTAAAAACTCAGACAGGAATACTGGGAAATAAGACAGTAGATAATACTGGAAAAGACGCAACAAAGAACGGTATGTAGATATTTTCCCCATCACCTCAATGGATTACGTAAAAACGTTATTGCAGAATGAAATTATGAAAAAGTGGCAAGTTCGATGGGAAAATGAGAATACTGAGAAAAAAGTTTTTTTGGTTTTTCCTAAAGTAAAGAAGACAAGACTTTTGAGTGATAAAAGAATAAATCAAGCATTGACAGGTTATGGACAATATCCAGAATATTTGAATAGATTTCATAAAAAGAATGTAAAATGTGAATGTGGTTGGGAAGCACAATATATAGATTTTACACATTACTTGTGGGAATACGTAAAGACGATTTATATTAGTGAAGAAAAATATTTAAATATTTCAAGAGAAAAATGTGAAATATTTATTCACGAATGAGAAAGCAATATTAGGGATTATAAAAATTTAAACAATTTGATTAATCATGAATATTTTGAAATTGAGTTATAAATGTTTTTCTCGAAATTGTAACTAAATTAATTTGTGTTTTTGAGACTCTTTATGTATGTATCATAAGCGCAAGTAAATAGATACTTAAAAGATGTAAAATCTCCATTTGTGAAAATTGTCAAAGTAAATCAATTTGCTATAAAATTATTATTATTACGTTGTATGTATTCAGAATAAAGGTCGAGGTGACATTGCTGGAGAGGTCAGGGAATCTTCTCGGAGGGCAAGTTTAGGGCGATTTGGCCCAGTATTTTAATTTAGTTAGATTTCTTATTTTCTTCGTTTGTTTCTTAGTTGTATCGGCTGTTTAGAATTAAAGTTTTATACATTCCTATTTCACAAAGTGAAGCTGAGGGTATTAGTTAAGTAGTTAAGTAACCTGCAGTCTGTCTGCTAGCTACTGTTTGCAGTACAGCGATGTTGTCTGTAGTATAGTTAGACATATATAGTTAGTCTGTACTCTGGAATTCTAAAAATTCCAGAGTACACATGAATGGTACGTACAGTGGATGGACAAAAATATGGAAACACCTTGTGACATGCATGTTTGAAAAAAAAGATTGATTTTAATGAAATATGTAGGTGGCGCTGGCGTTTTTGACTACTGACGCCACCTATACAACTTCGTAAATGTGCTAAACAGTTCAGTTGTTGTCGGGAGTACTGTTATGTGAGGTTGTCATTGCATTATGTCCAGAGTTAACAGACTTCGAACGTGGGCAAATTGTTGGAGCACGTACGGTAGGTGCTTCCGTAAGCAAGGTAGCCGAGGTGTTTAGTGTTTCAAGAGGTACTGTATCGAAGATTTATTCCGCATATTTGAAAAGCGGAAAAACATCATCTGCTAAAATCACAGCGCGGACGAAAGTGTGTCCTGAGTGATCGTGACAGACGATCATTAAGGGCAATTGTGACGAAAAATAAGAAGAACCACAGCTGCAAAAGTTACTGCTGAAATGAATGTTGTGTTACCGAACCCTGTGAGTACCAAAACAATTAGAAAGGAGCTTCATAAACAGGGAATTGTTGGCGTGCTGCAATTGAGAAGCCACTCATCAGTGATGCTAATGCCCGTAATAGGAAAAGGTGGTGTTTAAGTCATAAAGCCTGGACTATAGAGCAGTGGAAGCGAGTAATATGGTCTGACGAGTCTTCTTTCACATTGTTTCCCACTTCTGGCCGAGTTTACGTCTGGAGAACGCCATCTCAAGCCTATAATATAGACTGCTTGTTGCCAAGAGTGAAACATGGCGGGGGTTCTGTTATGGTTTGGGCAGCCATATCGTGGTTCTCTGCTAGCCCCATGATAACTGTGTCAGGGCACATGACTGCCAAGACTTATGTGAACATTTTGGGCCGATCAAGTTCATCCCATGGTACAAACTTTGTTCCCCGATGGTGATGGTGTCTTCCAAGAAGACAAAGCCCCCTGTTCACACAGCTCACATTGTTCCAAGACTGGTTTTCTGAGCACGAGGATGAGTTGTCCCATCTCTCCCCTGGCCACCACAGTCACCAGACCTGAATATTATCGAACCTTTTGGTGGTCTACATTGGAAACGGAAAGTTCGTTCTCGTTATCCACCGCCAACATCGTTATCTGAACTTGCCACCGTTTTGCAGGAAGAATGGTATAATATTCCCTTGGCAAACATACAGGAACTGTATTTATCCATTTCGAGAAGACTGCAAGCTGTTTTGGATGCCAACGGGTTTCCTACACCATATTAAACAAAGAAACATGTTTTTTAAAGGTGTTTCCATATTTTTGTCCAACCCCTGTATGTTCATAATGCATGAGTGGTATGGGCGCACTTAAAATACTGGGGAGATGGTGGTCCTCTTGAGTGTAATGATAGAAAGAAAAGAGGGAGTATTCCACTACTATCCGTCCATTTCTACCTGTACTTGCTTGTAAAACCTGTTTTCTGCACTTATATCTAGATTTAATTGTTTATTCGAATTGTTCTGTTTTCAGATTTTTTCCCGAATCGCCAAGCTGGTTAATAACAAATCAGAGATATGAAGAGGCGTTAACAATTGTGAAGGGAATTAGTGAAAAGAATGGGAAAACCAAAGATTCAGCTACTTTGAAGGCACTGATTGAGGTATCAAGTTATAATCAAGTCAATATGCTTAATTATGAATTAATTATGATTTATTCAGTATATTATATTAAATGTAAAGACGCTAGAATCTTTGTTCTGGTGTGTATTACATTTTCTCTTAAACTGTAATTTTTCAAACATAATTTTCATATATTTCTGTTTTCTATGAAAACTAAATTTATATTAGAATTTCGAAAATTATGATTTCATTGAAATAAGGCGATTCACGAAAGATTGAAAATATCCCGTAAAAATGTAGCTGATTAAGATTAGTAGGGATTAAGAGTGAAAATATTTGAGAAAACCGAATTGCGGTGCATTCTCGTCTGTACTCTTTATTTAAGTGGTATCAGAAACCCCTATATCGACAATGTTAAATTGGCCATTTTGATGTACCTTTTTCAAAATCTGGCTGTAGATACACGCTTTAAATTTTTTGTGTAATTGAAGTATACCTATCTGATTATACTGAAATGAGCTTTTGAAACATTTTGAATTTTAGAGTAATTTACGGAATATTTTGTTAGGCATAGTAAAATTAAGCACTTTCTCACTCACACACACACACACACCACACACAACCAAAAAAAAAAAAAAAAATCTTAGTTTATCACAAAAATCTCATTTCGTAATATTTATTATATTTAATTTTCGTAATATTTATTATATTACGAAACCTAATAAATAAGCCATAAAAATGTTAGATACCTGTGAGCAGTAGTTCCTGAGAAAAAATACGTCGAGTATAAAAAAAATCACGTTTGGAGAAAAACGCGTTTTTACGTAAAAATTTTCATTTATCAAAGCATTCGAGGACAAATTAAAACTAGATTTTTTACAGTTCTAATATTCATAGAGATTAAAGAATGGTATTTTTAGAAAGATAAAAGTGTAGCGAATTTGAAAATGCAAATACCCGGAATCACCATTTTTTGAAGATTTTTAGGTTCCAACACCCCTTAAAAATTATAATGTATGTTTATAGATAAAGGTAATACATGTGGCATTAAGTTTCTCAATTTGGTAATTAGTTGTACTTGCTTCTAATACGTAGGTAATTTTATAATTTTTGAGGTAAGGGTAGACATTATATGCTAAAGAACAATTATTTGGTAGATGTGTGAATCTGAACTCTTTCATGCCCTCAGGTGATAATTTCTGACATCAACCGAAATTTTTCGATTGTAGAATTAATTTTGAAAAACAAAAAATGAAACTGACATCAGGATATTATCGAGTTATAATTTCCTATGATTTTAAATGGATTTAAATCAAGAAAAATGCCTTCGTCTACAAATAGCATATGGGTATCGAGTTCCATCTCGTACCACTCTATAAAGAATGTTTAAAGAATTAGTAGGGTCTAAATTCTCTCTTTGATGAAAACCACACAGAATCACCTTTGTTAACTGAAGTCTAAGAAAATATGTCTGTCATACGAAAAATGTCAATCAATGATAACTTTTATAATTATGAAATTATGTTGTTATACATACGAGGGCAATTCAGAAACTAACCTCCTTCGTGGCTTGGCGCTAGTAGTAATGGGCGAATCGCAACCATTGTTATATCAAGCAATCTGTAATTTAGTAAGCTTCCTGCTTTCCTAGTGATAGTGTCGATTTCGTCGCGTGTACTGATTATAATGCCACAAAATAAATATACGATGGTATTGAAAAATCCCGTCAAATACAATGTAAGAGGAATAATAAGAATTCTTTGGTCAAAAAAAACTGTCAGGGCAGACATTCATCGTAAATTGTGTGTCATATAGATCCCAAACATTATGAGTAAACGTGTAGTGCGTCAGTGGGTGAGAGGTTTCATAAAACGAAGAACAAACATTCATGATGAATCAATGAGGACATCTGTAGGGAGTGAGGTTCTCGTTAAACAAGCTGATGTCAAAGTTGATCAGATCCGTCGATTCACAATTTTGAAATTTCCACAATAATTTCTGAGCATTTATCGGGCTGTTTTGTACTAGGTAGTCACCGGAAAATTAAGCTACCGGAAGTTCTGTGCTCGATGGTCATAGAAAATTCTCACGGAAATCCACAAAAATCAACGGAATGCTCACTGCCTTAGACTTTCTTTTCCAGTACCACATGGAAAGGGAGGAGATTTTGTACAAAAGAGTGCCTAGGATGAAACTCGAGTAGTGTATGTGAATGCTGGTACAAAACAACAGTCAATGGAATGGGGATCATACCAATTCTCCATTCCGGCTGAGGAAAGCACATCGAACTTCGTTAGCGAGAAATGTTATTTAACCTTGCATGTCGAATTCATAGAACGTGGTATCACATTCAATTCTGAAGTGCACTGTATCACTTTTAATAAACTGAAAAGAACCATCCACAACAAAATTTGCGACTTGCTGACATCTGGAGTTGTGGCCCAGTACGATAGCGTTCGCCCTGACAGTGCTCAGAGAAAGATCTTTTGCTCCTATTCAAATGGAACGTGTTTCAACATCATTCTATAAACCGTACATGACTCCTTCCGATTATTTTCTGCAATGAGGAAATGACTTGAGGCATAAACTTCACTGATGATGAGGAAGTTCAAGTCGCTGTTACAAGTTAATTGAAATCGTAGGCGGTTGTCTTTATGCAGAAGAGATGGTAGGTTAGTAAAAAGCTATGACAAAATTATTTAGTGATGGGACACCGAATTATTTCTAAAAATTGTAACTGGTTTTGAAATGTATATGGCTTGTTTGACAGTCTAACATGTCAAGAAAGTACAGTATGGATTTTGAAGATGAACCATAATCACCATTAAGAAAACGGGAAGAACAACGAAAAAAAAATATGAAAGCTCTCACATTTTATATTACGCCCTTTACTTATTAAATATCATGTTCTTCGTTATTAAATCATAAAATTCAATTGAACAGCAATACCACAAAATAATTGAAAGAGAATTTCCGATACTTTAAATATCTTTAGCATTTTCTTTACAATAGAATTATAATTTCGATAAATTTCTTTAGAATTTCCGATACACAGTATAATTTCAAGATAATTTTTTTCCCGTACAGTTTTGCCATTATTCATTTAAAACTGGTTGAGTTTGTTAATCAGAAATTCATTAAAGTGTTACAAAATATGAAATCGATAATTACGCAACTTCCAAATTAGTGCTTCCGGATGCCCATATTTGGTAGAGGATTACGTTATTCAAAATTTGATGACTCTAGGTATTGTTGTTTTATCACATTGCGAGAAACATACGTATCTTTATGCAGATTCTTCATTATTAAATTTCCGTAAATATAATGCAGGTCTCTAATATTTGGTGGAAACAATTTGAAAATTGAACCGACATTTATAATGAACCGATGCAAAATGCCAAAACGAAATGAATAGCCCTTCTGGGTGGCAAATTGCCCCAATGGGCGAAACATTAATGTAGGCCGTTATCTTCAGAAGTTCGGGATTGACAGAAAGCCATTAAGTTAAAGAGACAGAAGACAATTACAGCTAACTGCTTCATCATTAATTGTTTTCCAAAAATTCTTTAAGGAGTGAAAATTATGGGAATCCAGTTTTACCCTGCTATTGCATCTACTCATTCAATGAGAATGACAGCTAGATTTTAGGAGCAAACACATATTAAATCGATAAAACATCCACCTTGTTCCCCTGATTTTGCTAGATGTGATTTTTTGCTATTTTTCAATCTAAAAAAAAAATTTACTCAGATGTTGTTTTTATTCCAAAGATGAGATTGTTAAAATTGTATTTATCAGTTTCTAGAAATGGATGACTTTAAACATTTTACCTAATAATTTAAATATTCGTCAGATTTGGTAAGTTTAACTTGTGTCAATTAGCTGTGTCTCAGAAATTTCAGTAACCCTCATGCATCGTTAAGAAGAAAACATGCATAAAAAGTACAAATGAAGGTACCGGTAGTTAAATGGTTTATACAACAGGTTCCGGGTTCTAATGTCAATACAAATAGCTTTGAGGTGCTTTCTTCACATAGTAGCGAAAAACATGTACACTGCGGAGGAAAAAAAAAAAAAAAGTCAGAAAAAGCACGTGCATATGCCATTAATCGTACGTACACTGCGGGAAAAAGGGGGGGGGCAGTTTTATATTTCTTGTTCTACTGGGTCAATTGACGAAATTGCGTTTTTCATCTCTCGAAAGCGCGACTTAGGATATATATATTTAGATTTATATATAGCACTGTTCTAACATAGATATTTTGACACAAAATCGGACTTTTTCGGAAATGACTTACCAATTTTTTCCCTATTTCGATTCTAAGACTCAAATTATAATGAGATATTAAATTTTGTACAATTTGGTGCGAAATTTACGGAGGCATTCAAAAATTTATCTTGGCACAATTTTTTTTAGTTTTCGCCCAGAATAATTCACTTGGCGTACTTCTTAATATGTGGTAACCAATTTTCCTTTCCCTTCCATTATGCCGGACCGCAAAAAAAGGTACCTTGTTGCTACCTTTTTACATTGTGCATGAGAGTAAAAAAAGTCACATCGTTTTTATCAAAGCGTCTAAACAACATATGATATTTATCGCTTTCAACAAATATTCCAAATTTTAAAACGTATATATAAATTTACGTATATCATTGGAAATTTTGCATAAAAAAGCTGTAATTTTTTGCAGGTATGCTTAGAAATGCGTTTACTTTAAGATGATGGTAAAAATCTTATAGATTATAATCCAAAAATGTTTTTGAAAAATTTATAAAAAAAATATTTAAAAATACAAATTTTAAAAATAAATCTTAAAATATGGGTGAATTTTATTTGGAATGAACCTAAATTTCGAAATGTGAAATAAAGAATCAAATCAGTTTAATAAAAAAAGATAGATTAATAAATATATACCAAACTCAATTAACATTGAGGAACTAAAATTTTGAGAGCTAATTTTTTAAGAACTACTCGTGCGATTTTTACAAAACTTGGTAGTTTGGCATAGTTTGAAACGTAGACTCGAAATATGGAAAAACA